AATATATATATATATATATATATATATATAGAGAAAGAAGAGAAAAAGAAGAGTAAGAAAGAGAAAGAAAGAAGTGAAAGAGAGAGAGAGAGAGAGAGTTATAGTAAAGCTTCATAACATATTTTTAACTCGAGCGAGTGTTTAGACCTACACTATCTGACAACGCAAAATCGTAAAAGATTTCTAAATAATAAATAATATCTAAAGGATGTCTGAAAGAATTTTTCGGCCATTTTACGGTTTCTTTTACGGTGTTGTGTTGCCTGGACAATTTTAAACCGCGGTCCAAGAGCTCCTACCGGAGGCACGCGCGCTCGCATGTGCCGACGAGGCCGCAAAGGCGATCCTTTTTGTACATTTCACGTCCTCGTTCGCACGCGCGAAACGACACGCAAGACGGGACTCGCTAAGTCGTGCCGTGAATATCTATCTTTGCGCGTGTTCATCGTCGCGTTCTTTCGACGGCCGCGCGAATGAGCTCGATCGTCGAGCCGCATTCCTCCCTCGCTTATCTAAGCGTATAACTGGAGAACCAATAGTTCAACACTATTTTATTTTATTTTATTTCAACTTTATCTCTAAGAAACGCGTTTATGTCCTGAAAATCTATATATATACATATAGCAAAAAAATTTTCAAATTACTAAATCTCGAATAATTTATTCTGAATGTTAAATTCGATTTATTAGAAGCACGCTTTCGACTAGCGTTCAAATTTAATAACAATTCTAATGATCCTCGGCTACATTGAATAATTGTATATCCAATGGTCGTAATAATATACGGCTGCAATAATGACGCAGCTATTATCTCTCGTTTTAGCAGCGATAGTAATTTCGCGTGAATAATATTCCAAAGTGATTCCCATTAATTTCCCGAGGGCTTCTGCTTTTTCTAGACAAGCGAAATAGGAGTGCTTCGACATTCGTGCACATCTAAACACTCATCGTCTCTTCTTGGCCAGCCAACCCCTCACACCTGCTCCCTTCATTGCCCTCCTTACACTGCCCCTTACACTGCCCTCACACTATTGATCTTTAACCGTATTATTCGCCGTTGGATCCGGTAACGGTGTATTCAAGAGGAATCGACTATTTTTTAAGTATCACGTGTCAAATTAATAAGCGGGCTAGATAGCCGCGAGATAACGTGTCGGGCAGAGTCCCCAAATTCGACTCGAGGCCCGACCTCGTCTCACGATTATTAATATTAGGAAAAAGAATTCACTCTCTAACTTCCGTGAAGTTTCATCTCTCGTTTTTGCGAACTCGTTCCAGACTCATACGTCCCTCGCCACCGTTCCGCGGGGGACCGTGACAACTCCACGTACTTCTCTAAATAAATGAAAATGAAATGAAGTAGGACGCGCGAAGAAATAATGATTATGTGAAATAAATAAATAAATATATATATATGAATATATTGAGAAGATATATATACACACACACGCGAGAGGAGCTAGAGTGGCCAATTATAACAGTAATCGTCGATTGCGGCACGATTGGTTCTCGAGCGTGATATCACGTTGAAAAAAATAGGAGGGAAAAAATTCGAAATTCCGGAAACGCGTGACGGAAGCTGAGAATGTGAGAGCGATATGGAGAGCGAGAATGAGATAAAAGGGAAAAAAGAAGGAGAGCGTGAAAATGAGAGATATTGAAGATTAAGCGAGCGCGAAGGGCAAACAGAAGTCAGCCACGCTAAAGCTACTACGACCACTACCCTAGATAGATTACGCTACTTTGCCGCTGATCTAATTGTTTACTGTCACGTGTTGCTGTAAACCTAAACCTAACGATACGATATTATATATATTTTATTTATATAACCTAATCAACTGTATTTATTGTAAATAGTCATGATGTTTGCTATGATATAATATATCTGTAATTGGATGGGAACCTGCCTGAAACTGCGCCCAAAAAGCCCTGTCCTATCCCCGCAGCTAGATCCATATACATCCCGTACACAAGTACAGGACATATATAACGCATTCACACGTACACAGCATCACGCATATACCATACACACAAATGCGGCGTCGCTGCCGCAGCCGTTTAGCGATAATTTAGAAGAGAGGATAAATGGAGAGAAAAAGACAGGTGCACATCGCGCGCGTTGAATTATCACTACGTCAATATTTCGTATCGCATCGACGGGCGATCAATTTCATGTAAGACGCTCTATTTTACCGTAGGGAAAGGAAGGAAAAAGGAAGAACTTATCCCACCCGCCATCCGATCAAGCCCCCCCTCCCCCTTTTCCCACCGCGTTCGAACCCTTCCGTAAACGAAAGCGTTACGATGGTCACGAGCAATTTTTATAAATGTATTTTTTCGCCTCCCCTTTCTCCTCCGCGTGTTGAAACACACATCTCGATTCGATGATCATCGTAGAAGCGCCGGAAATGAGTAATTTACGAATTTTCCACTTGAACCACTGCCACGCGGCAGACGGCGATCCAACCAGCATGTCCAATAAACTTACAATATTACTATCTTAAGTACAATATATTAAGTGTTTTCAGAAAATATATGATCTATATATGATAATAAAAAACGGGAAAACGTTTCATCGATCTTGTCATTCACTTCTAAATCATGTTTCACCCTCGACGTCTTCACAAATAGATCGCTTCATTCCTCATCGAACGATTCATCTTTAAGCTTTTTCACGAAACAAACACGAAAAGTATGCTGGTTAACTAAAACACGAACAAGTTTTGTTTTTTTATTATTCTTATATCAAATACACACGAAGATAAATAATGAGTTTTACTGCAAGTGAAGATGCGATAAACATGGAGATAGTGTAAACGTAAACAATTTTAATAATATGATCCCTTTTAAAGCATCCAAATTTGAGATATATCTTCTGTCATGAGCAGACATTGGAAATTGTTCAAATAAATCAGGAACTCTGCGCGAACTTTACGTTAATTCGCTATTTATTTTCAAATTAACTCTGCAGCGATTGTATCTATTACACATATAAATTTAACACCGTTATTGAATAATATTCAATATATAAATATATTTGTTTAATAAACAATAAGTAAATTACTAATATATATTAAAATAAATTAATATATTTTGTAATTATTATTGTAATTATTGTGCAAATATGATTACTTCATTAACTTGTTTAATTTCTACCGCTTATTACGTTGTTTGGAAATTTTCTATTAATGAAGTAGTTTATTGCAGGATGCAGTTTACCAGAAATTATGACGGATGAAAATTATGATGTGCCGTCAGAATTTCCAAGAAATAGGAAAAAAAGAAAATTTCTGAAAGAGAGTAAGAGGAGTTCCGGATATTATTAGGCTCGACCGGATGTGCGCTGCGCGTGAACGCAACTCACTCATTTCCCGACATAAAAAGGAAAGTACGAGCTCTAAGTTGTGCTATTTGGCAGAAAATACATTAAGATATGACTGGCATAACTCTTCCATGACTAAGAGCAGATGTAGATCTCAAATAAAAACTATTTTAGCATATATTTCCTTGTTATTTAGTTACTAGTTATTTTTTATAGGAATATCAATTTAATATCATATTATGGCCATAATATATTTGTAATATATGTATTTTCCTTTTATTAGATAAAAATCTCATCTTATAAAAAAGTATAAATATATTAATTGATTAGATTATCAAATTATTCTACAAAGTTTCAATTCAAAGTTTCAAATATTGATTAGAAATTTTTTTGATAAGCGTGAGAAAAATTAATTAGGATCGCGGAAAAGAAACTATGACATCTTTGAGATTTAATATGTTTTCTTTAGAAAAGAATACATTAAATATTTACACTATTTATTAGACATTTAAATATTTTATTATTTATAAACTCTAATCAATATCTAATTGTAAAGCTGCTATAAACTTTGCGACTTGTTGATATTATATCTTCTTTAGAGTCTTTTTGCTGGAGCGAATGATAAATATTATAATTAAAAAAACTCTAAACAAAATTAATGTTTTAAAGACATTGTACAGGTGTTTTTTTAATAGTTTCTGAAAATATTTAAGACATAAAAATTAATGGATTCAAACTCTTCTCAACTTACAACATTTTCTGTCTGTGACGATGATTTCTCTCCATTAGCTATTTATGTTTCTAATCTCTTACTATCTGATAATTATTTATGTCCTATAAGGTTATTCACTAAATTCACTTTTAATTTCCTAATTCAATTTTTTACAACATCATAATATTCTCTGTATTTGTTTTTTATATTTATATCGATAATATCTATTCTCTTCTGTTATTCCAATCTCCATTATCGGCTGACTCATTCATGACTGGCTATTTTTATTATTTTATTGGTGGCAACAATGAAATTCGGGAAGCAGTGCAGCCAGTAAAGCAGCTAGTTGAGTTGCAAATCCACCAATAAAACGGAAACTGTTCCCGCCTTTACTAATCGTATTGAGAATCTTTACAGCTTCTTATTTTTATATTTTTATATGAGTATCGTATTTCACGACGAGAAACATGAATAAAATAAGTCGAAAACCGTTTTCAACACCTTCAGCAGCAAAAAAACTCAAATATAGGTAATTTCGTTTTGCTAGTAAACTTGTTAACCTCTGTACTTCTGTCTTTATTGTATCTCTTATTATTAACAATAGTTCAATATGATGCTGCTATGTTAATTAATACTTTTTTATCTTATTTAATTGAATGAATATGAATATTTTTGTATGTCTTATGTCTTATTTAATAACTATTATATATTTTTTCAATAATTTTATAATATTAAATTATCCAAATATAGAATTGTTTTTATATAATATAATGAATTCTAAAATTTCTATGTTAATAATCTTGCCGAACAGAGATGACGATGATGAGAAACCTAGTTCGTTTGAAGCTGAACTGGCCGTTATGGATTTTGCAGATGATGATTTTCCAGATGAAACATTACTAATAGGAGAGGTATAAGTATTTATGCAATATAGAATTTATTTTCTATCAATTATATTATTTATTATGATATATACTGATATATTATTTATTAATCATTTTCTTTGCACAGGGACCTGAACAGGAAAATACATCTGCAAAATGGAGCAGAACTCCTCCACCGTCTTTGAATCCACAAATTGATACATTAACATTCCAGCAAATTGAAATTGATCATTATATAGGTAATAATATATATATATATATTTTTTTTTCTTGATATCTATTTTACATAAAAAAGTGATCAATTCTTTCTGCCATTAAAAAATATATTAATAATTTGATATATATTTATTAATATATATTAATATTGCAAAATTTATGGAATTTATAGGTAGACCCCTCCCTGGAATGCCAGGTAGTAAAATAGGACCTGTACCCATAATGAGGATGTTTGGTGTTACAGAATTAGGAAATTCTGTATGTTGTCATGTCCATGGCTTTTGTCCATATCTGTTTGTATCAGCACCACCAAATTTCACAAACAACCATTGCAGACCATTCAAAGTACATTTATTTTAACATTTATCTTTAACAAAAAATTATTTTAATTATTTTAATCTAAAATATAACATGAGAATTCCCTTAATATAGGAAGCTCTTGATCAAGCAGTAAAAAAGGATATGAAATCAAACCCAGATAACATACAAGAAACCATCCTAGCAGTAGAAGTGGTCTATAAACAATCAATGTATGGATATGAAGGACATAATAAATTGCCGTTTTTAAAAATTACAGTGGCTGTTCCAAAATTGATAGCACCTTGTAAGAGATTATTAGAAACAGACACAGTTTATACTGCGTTTAATTATCACTATAGAGCCTTTGAAAGTAACATCGATTTTGATATCAGGTAGATATAGCGATATCAGTCTTATTTGTTGTGTTTTTATTAGAATTATATTAAATTTATACTTGTCTATTTAAACAAGGTTTATGGTTGACACATCAGTAGTTGGTTGCTCTTGGATTGAATTACCACCAGGAAGCTGGAAATTACGTGGCCAATATGGGCACATATTGGAACTAACTACTCGATGCCAACTGGAAGTGGATGTTGCATGGGATGCTTTTATATCTCATGCACCAGAAGGAGAATGGTCCAAAATAGCTCCATTTAGAATTCTCAGTTTCGATATTGAATGTGCTGGACGCGAAGGTAATTGTTGTAATCTTTTTCTTTAATTTTGATATTCTTTATTACATAAATATAAAAATCTTTCTTATAGGTATCTTTCCGGAAGCAAAACATGATCCTGTGATACAAATTGCTAACATGGTCATAAGACAGGGCGAGCCCGAACCGTTTTTAAGAAATATTTTCACTCTTGATACTTGTGCGCCTATCGTTGGTTGTCAAGTGTTGAGCTTTGACAAGGAAAGTTTAATGTTAGAGGTAAATTAACTAAAATATTAAGTTTTTATTATATTAATTGTTTATTAATGTTATTTTCTTTTGCAAGAAATGGGCTGATTTTGTGCGTCAATTAGATCCTGACATTTTCACAGGCTATAACATAAACAATTTTGATTTTCCGTATTTAATTAATCGTGCACAACATCTTAATGTGAAAAACTTCAACTTCCTTGGTCGAATAAAGAATATAAAGTCTGTAATTAAGGATCATGTACTGCAAAGCAAACAATTAGGTCGTCGTGAAAACAAATCAATTAATTTTGAAGGAAGAGTTCCATTCGATTTATTATTAGTAAGAAAATTCATGAACATAACACGATTCTTTTTTCTTTTTGGATTACAATTTTAATAAAATTATAACTGTGTACTTTTCAGGTATTAGTTCGAGATTATAAATTGAGATCTTATACTCTGAATGCGGTATCGTATCATTTTCTTCAAGAACAAAAAGAAGATGTTCAACATAAAGATATTACGGGACTACAAAATGGAAATGCCCAAACACGTCGACGTCTCGCTGTATATTGTTTGAAGGACGCATACTTACCACTTAGATTATTAGACAAGCTAATGTGTGTTATTATCTATATGGAAATGGCAAGAGTTACGGGAGTGTCTATTTCTAGCTTATTAACTCGTGGACAACAAATCAAAGTCGTTTCACAACTTTTACGCAAGGTAGTAAATTTACATAGTAAATTTACAGAAAAAAATTATTTTAATATTGATATGATAATTAAACATATTAATATTATCAGACCCGGGAAAAGGATTACTTGATGCCAGTGCATCAAGGCCATGGTACCGATGAGCAATTTGAAGGAGCGACTGTCATAGAGCCTAAGCGTGGCTATTACAATGATCCAATAGCTACCTTAGATTTCAGTTCTTTGTATCCTAGTATTATTATGGCGCACAATTTATGTTACACGACATTATTAACCGTTGCTAAAAAAAAGGAATTGAATATTGAAGAAGACCAAATTATTACAACTCCCAGTAATTCATTTTTCATTAAGAGTACCATGAGAAAAGGAATTCTTCCAGAGATTTTGGAAAACCTATTGACAGCCAGGAAAAGAGCGAAAGCAGAATTAAAGCAAGAAACAGATCCATTGAAGCAAAAGGTACTCGATGGTAGACAATATGCTTTAAAAGTGTCGGCGAATTCGGTCTATGGGTTCACGGGTGCGCAAATGGGAAAATTACCATGTTTGGAAATATCTGCTGTAAGTTATCAATATTCTCGAAACATATCTAAAATGAGTTTTGAAAAATATATCATGAATATAATTACAGAGCGTTACCGCTTATGGACGTACTATGATAGAACAAACAAAACAAGAAGTAGAGGATCACTTTCGCATAGAAAATGGATACAAAAACGATGCGATAGTCATATACGGTGATACTGACTCTGTCATGGTGAAATTTGGCGTGAAATCTATAGAGGATGCAATGGAGCTTGGTAAAGAAGCTGCCGATTATGTGACATCTAAATTTATCAAACCTATAAAATTAGAGTTTGAGAAAGTGTATTTTCCATATCTCTTAATTAACAAAAAACGTTATGCTGGTCTATATTTTACGAAACCTGATAAATACGATAAAATGGATTGCAAAGGTCTCGAAACGGTGCGGAGAGATAACTGTCCGTTGGTCGCGAACATGATGAATACCTGTTTGCAAATATTGCTTATTGAGAGGTACATTATTTCTTTCATCCCAGTCATCTATATTTATGTTATAGCTAAATAAAATAAACAATGTAATTCATTACAGAAATCCAAGCGCTGCCGTAGATTACGCCAAACAGGTCATTAGCGATCTTTTGTGTAATCGTATTGATCTTTCTCAATTAGTAATCACGAAAGAACTAACAAAGACTGATTACGCGGCGAAGCAAGCGCATGTCGAACTGGCGGCAAAAATGAAGAAACGAGACGCCGGAAACGCACCGAAACTTGGTGATCGTGTGGCATATGTATTTATAAGCGCAGCTAAAGGTGCTCCGGCATACCAGAAGGCAGAAGATCCTGTTTATGCGCTGCAGAATAGTATCCCAATAGACACGAATTATTATCTAGAGAATCAATTGGCGAAACCTCTTGTACGTATCTTTGAACCTATCCTCGGCGAGAAAGCAGAGTCACTTCTTTTGAAAGGAGATCATACACGCACGAGATGCATCGCTACATCACAAGTTGGAGCGCTCGCGGCTTTTACACGTAAAAAAGAAACCTGTTTGGGCTGCAAAGCTGTTTTACCGCCAGACAGAGAAGACAAGGCAGTATGTAAGCATTGCGAATCTCAAGAGGCTGAATTGTTTCACAATGAGTTACAGGCCCAGCATAAACTGGAAGAGAAGTTTTCCAGATTGTGGGCAGAATGTCAAAGATGTCAAGGAAGTCTTCATCAAGAAGTTATATGCTCTAAGTTAGTTGTATCAATTAATATAGAATACTCTTTCCAAACAAAGATATTTTCTTACAAATTAGCATTGAATTAAATATTTATGTTTGAGGAAAATAATGAATGATATGTGCACCAAAATATTATTTTCAAATATATTTTCAGCCGTGACTGCCCAATATTTTACATGAGGGTGAAATCTCGAATAGACATGGCTGCAAAAATTAAACGAATCCAAAGATTTGGTGTTCCGGAATGGTAAAAAAATGATTGCAATTTACATAGGTTTCATCTTGTAAAAGTTATTATTGTAAGTAGAAAAATTGCAATTATTCACGTATAATAAATTTAGTCAATGAAATAAAAATTTATTATGAAATAGTTATCTATATATTTCCTAATATATTAACAAAATTTATATATTAAAATTTAGTATATTCAGGAAAAATATAAATACGTATTAGAAAATATTAAAAATTTCCAACCATGGTCTATTATTTGATATAATACCGTCAAGAAGTCTTAGATAAAACTAGAACGCAATTCAGAGTGAAACTTACATATTTGTAAATATATATTTTTTTAATACTAATGCAATTCTTTTTCGCGGCATAAAATTAATTTTATTTTGTATACGTTGTATAACAACTTTTATAAATGCTAGTTGTATTTGTATCTTGTCTACATTCATTTTTATCTTAAATTCATTTTACTAATTATTGTACTGAAAAAAGAATATTTCATAGTTTGAGATACATCAAGATGACAGTATATTATGTATAGATATATGATCTCTAAATGTAGTATGTTTGTAGTATTTTTGTTTTATGAGTTTGAACTTTTCCAAATATTTATTTTTGTTTGGTAATCGAGATGTATATTTGATCAATATACTTGTGTTCCCATTACAAATAATTTGTAATTCGATATCCGTATTAATATCAAATGAATTAAGCAAATCAATTATTTTAATCAAACAATTATTAACAAAGTTATAGCGATATATGATGTACCTATTAGTGCACAAAGTCTAAGTCGAAAAAATTCTCTAAGTTTATTTTAAATCGCTTATATAGAAAGATAAAACGATTTTCTTATCATTACATGTTCGGCGTTATGAAAAAGTACAATGGTTCCTCAAATAATCTCGCTGTAGATTGTAAAGAAAGAATATTTAAAATATAATTATTATAATAAATAAACAAAACATCGCATGCCAGCGGCAATCCGACGGCATATTCAGAGCGACAGTCGTATGACTAGTCCCCTTGTAAGGCTCGAATATAAATAACTGTGATGTAATATTGATCATTTTCTACTCTGTAGCGCATTCGACAACCAGTCCATGGCTTGATCAAGCCCTTCGCCTTTTGTCGCGGAAGTTTTGAATATTTGGAAAGTTCTATTTTTGAGAGCGTCCAACCCAAGTGCTTGATGGACTTCCGCGACACTAAGGCATCCCGCCATATCTTGTTTGTTCGCCAGCACCACCAAGATCGCGCCTTGTAACTCTTCTTCCTATTTATATTTTATATTTAAATATAAAATACCTTCCAAATTATATATTTAAAAAAAAAACAATTTTAATATAAAACAGAAATAAAGAACTTTTTTATTTAAAAAATATTACAGAATTGTTAATTTAATAATCACTATTACTTACTTGTAACATGAGAATTAATTCGTCCTTTGATATGCCTATTCTATCTCTGTCTGCTGAATCTACCACATAAATTATCGCATCTGTATTGGAATAATAACACCTCCAATATGGCCTGAAAGTAAACATAATTATTTAAAAGAGATATATAGAATGTAGATAGTAATATATGCATATGCATAATATACAATAGAAATCTAGATAGAAAGTTTTGTTTGTAAATTTTAAGGCCAACTTTTATATAAATTTGACATACCGTATACTCGTCTGACCACCCAGATCCCAAACTTGGAACTTTAAATTTTTATAAGTAACTTGTTCTACATTGAACCCTATTGTTGGTATTGTAGTTACCACTTCGCCTACCTGTAACCTATAATAAGAAATCAAAGAATTTTGCTTTCAATATGTTTCACAGTTTATATCAAATATGTTTAATTTTCATTAATACAACGAAAGTACGTTTGAATATTTATATTGCAGAACTATTATAACTAGAATTATACAATATTTGTAATGTTTAACATATTGATATATAATTTTGCAGCAAAACAGGAAGAACAAAAACACATTTAAAAATGTTCCAGATATTAAGATAATTTCAACATAATAAAGATAAAAATGCTTCAAATTCAAATAAAACTAATTTTGATTTGTAAAAAAAGTGACCAATAATAAATGCATTTTATAAATACAAGTCGTCATAGAGTCATTGAAATGAAAGAATTGTCAAACTGTAAACCTGTACAAAATCGTAGTTTTGCCGGCACCATCCAAGCCCAGGATCAAAATCCGCATCTCGCGGCTGCCGAGCAGGTTACGGAAATAACTGAGCAACCCACCTGTAATGAAATATCGTCAGAATCGCGAAGAACAACCTCGATTGAAGTAACATTGTGCACGAGAAGATTTTCTCTTCCTTTCTTTCTTTCTTTTTACAGAATAAATATACAATGCATGAGAAGATTACATTTTTTTGGCTTACCCATGTTGACGTATCGTTAACTCCAAATCATGCAGAGCGGTCCGATGTTTATTGTCAAATCTGATAACCATAAACGTGCCAAGTAACCGGGCCGCAAAACCCTCCTTCACTTTACATCCACGGTATACGACCTACTTCAATCGGTTTGCTCTCAGAGCTGCCAACACAATATCAAATGTATATACTATATATACAAATGTATATAATGTATGGTGATATCCACACATCTATGAGCATGAACATACAGTACAACTAGCTGCAGAGAGAAGCCTAAGAGCGGCTATATCGGTCTTTTTCGTGAGATTGTCAAAATCCTTTGTACACTATCGCCAATATATACATCTATTTTGGAATTATGTAGCTCATCTATTTTCCGATGCTGCCGATAAAAACGTATTCTGATGCGTATCTACATGGTGCATCTACAATTTCATCTAATTCACTATAATTAATTAAGCAGTTTATAATTGGTCAATTTTCTTCATTAAATATATATAGATCTATATATATATTAGACTGCTTTAAGTTAATATTAAATTTGCTATATGGCAAATTTTTTGAACGTATTGATTGGTTACACGATTATAATTTCTAACAAGTTGAAATTTTGTGTTATTCTCTTCCTGTTGCTTATTGTGCATAGACCTTTAAATCTTTTTTGCTGGAAAATGCGAAACGTAACAGTAATAATTTTCAATGCTCTAACATGTATTAGACCATTTTTTTATATACAATATGCAGCTCATACTACAAATATATCATATAAAATAAAAATATAGCGTATCAGGTATCAAAAAAGAAACATATTTTGTCTTTTAGAATATATTTATTTTACATTAAAAAAGAAAAATTTTATTGGAGGGCTTTTCCACGACCAAAACCACCACGGAATTCAAGATCACCAGTGCCTGCGCCAACATCAGCCTTTTTGTCACCAGTACCCGGAGGACCACCTGGACCTCGTCTGTACCCTGCACGATCTTCCGTTGGTCTCGAACCCTCGCTTCTAGTTGCAGCAGGTCTCGGTCTTGTAGTCTCAGACCTTGGTTGTTTTTTAAGGGTAGATGGTACAATTTCAGGTGGCAGATGCAAGTATCCACGTAGATATTCTATACCATCGTTTGTCAGATACCAGTAAAAATGTCTCCAAGCAAATTGTTCCTTTACATAGCCTCTAGACTTTAAAGACTAAAAAGATAAATAAATATACATAACATACATGCACTATTAACTTTATATTAAGTAATAACATTAGATAGAAATAAGATCTTACTTTATATGTAATATGAAAAAATTAGCAAAGATATTTACCTGCATAGCTTTAATAACTTGGAGATTGGGAATATTTTCCAATTCTGGATGTTTAGGTGCATGATAGTCCTTTTTTGCTACCATGACTCCCTCCTTAAAGAGGTACTCATAGATAGCCACACGATTCTTTTTTGGCATCAACATTCTGGATAACAATTAAAATACAATCTAATAAATTTATATGAATAAATATCATGACAGTTTAAAGTATAACAGAATATAATTTTGAAGGTTATGTTTCACAACAATATAAAAATCGATATTATGCAAGCGACTAATGCTTTGTTATCGAGATTATCATATTTCAAAGTTATATTTTGTGGATCTGCAATTATAAATTATAGAAAATGGATAAATTGTAGCCAATTTCCACGAAAAGAATGATGTATGAAATATATATAATAAATTCATAAATATTCTACAATATTCGTAAAAATTAAGCAGAATGAAGTACATTTCACTCTAGACAGATTATGAATTTTGATCAACTATCCACTTTCTCACAATTTTCACATAACAAATAGAATTAAAATGAATATTATAGAGAACAGAACATACTTGATGATTCTAACACGTGTCTCACTTCGGAAAGAATTAATAGTTCAAGCAGTTGCCGAATGATGTCGTGCTTTCTTTTAGGAAACAATCAACATATTTGAGTATGTTCTAAAATATATTGCTATATTGAAAAGCTATAATTTACATGATGTATATATTCAGTAAATTTTGGAATACACTTTTGGACAAAATTTTCGCAAATCGACAAATTAGTTGATTGAGAAATTTACGATTGATCAATTTTTCCTTCATCCGAGATCTTAAATAAATTTTCAAAGGTACATTCTATTTCTCACATAATGCATTATTTATCTTTATTAAGTCTTGTGTTCACGATGCTAAAAGTCAATCCGAGATCTCGGGCGGAAAAAGAATTGATCAATCATATTGGTTAATTGACCGAATCATTCAAACGCAATTGGTCAATTCCGTTTCCATCCGAGATCTCGGACCAATTTCTAGCATCGTGGACACGACTTTATTCACTATATGTTAAACAAGGACAACATAATATCTGTATGCACTGGACGTTATTTCTGAACGCATTTCTGCGCTTTACGGAAATCTATGAAACGGCTGTTATATTTTTTTTCCATTTTTTTCTTTTTATAATTCGATGCGTTCCCAAATTCATCGAAAGAAAATATCTTAACTTTTCGTCGATACAATTTAAATCTCTCCCAAATACGAATACACGCTATTCGGCGCACGGCGTATGAATTCGTTTACGAACGTAAACCGGTGACTGTCACGTTGAACTGCTGACGTTGAAGATTGCGATCGAGAAAACAATGCGCATTGGTTAGAAAATCGGTCTACAAACAACTGTATCAATTAGATCGCTTTAATTTAATCGGAACGCCAAGATTACCGACGACAGTGAGACACAACAATGCATACGTTCCTAACACGAGGAAATGCTATCTTAGCATATACGTTAAGTGTTTCGGCCTGCCTCACATTTTGTTGTTTCCTCTCAACAGTATTTATCGATTACAGAGCGAACGCAACGTTAAATACAGTTAAAGTTGTCGTGTAAGTATAACAACAAATGTATGAATTTATTATCTATCTATATATTGTACAATTTATTACATGATTTTACATTATTATATTTCAATTAAATCGCGTTTATGTTTCTGTCAGAGAATCCATATTGTACTTGAACGTGTTTTGAAAAGAAATTTCTCTAAATGGTTTAAATATCATATTTATTACTTATCTTGCTTCAACGTAACAGAAATTAATGTGTACATGTAATCTTGTATTTACAATGAATTTTGTTTTACAGAAAGAATGTACCAGATTACAGTGCATCGAGAGAGAAAAACGATCTGGGTTACTTGACCTTTGACTTGCAAACTGATATCCTTTTCATACAATATTATGCAAATATCATTGAAATTAAAAATATCTAGTTTGAATAAGTTCATTAAAATCTATTAATATAGTTATCAAATTATTAATAAAAAATAATTTGATAAAGATAGTTTTTTTTCTATAAAATAGCATTTATTAATTTATATATTTTGAATTATTTGCCTTACAAAATTTTTACATCTCACTCCATTGTTTAACTGGAATGTTAAGCAATTATTCTTGTACCTCACTGCAGAGTATCAGACAGAAAATAATGAATTTAATCAGGTATGTTTTTGGATTCATCTGTATATATCCTTTCTTTTCCTGCTTGTTCTGTTTATGAATAAGACTTAGTGTTATTTTTATTAACAGGTAGTATTATGGGATAAGATAGTACTTCGTGGAGATAATGCTGTACTCGATTTCAAAAATATGAATACCAAGTATTATTTTTGGGATGATGGCAAAGGCCTCAGGTAGATATAATGAATTAGTTATTGTAAAACAATAAAATTTTTATAATCTTCATCAATGAACTTATACATGTTAAATATTTGTTATTTTTTGTTTTTCATTACAGAGGAAATAAGAATGTAACATTAACATTATCCTGGAATATTATTCCAAATGCTGGATTGTTACCTAGTGTTAATGCTCTTGGTTCTCATACTTTTGCATTCCCGTCTGAATACACAACGTTGCGTGTATAACACATTTTTTCAAATGTGTATGTGTTATGATTGTATATCACGTATGATTTTATAAGACTTATTTAAGCTGCATAAATTCATGTACAATAAACGTTTATTTCTTCACGATTATCTTATATTTCATTCTGTATACTTTATATATTATTATTTTAAGTGAATTATTCAATTTAAATATTGTGTATATTATACATATGAATATCTAGGAATTGTTAATCAATTTGTATCTTATAAAATATTTCAATTCTTTTTGAGAATTTTTTTTAGTATTTGTGCGTGGTTAAATTTCTTCATTAATTGATGTTCCATTTACAATTATTACTATTTTATACATCTGTAAATATATGTTAAGCTTTATTTTTACTATCTGAAGTTTCTTGTATTTTGGTATCTTTCTTTTCTTCGTCTGCATTTGATGCATCATTATCTTTATCATTATCGTCATCATCTTCTACATCATCATTATCATCATCATTATCATCATCATCATCATCATCATCATCATCATCATCGTCATCATCATCATCATCATAGTCATCATCATCATCATCATCATTGGTATAACTGACAGTTCCATAATAAGATTCTTGATTTTCTACATAAAAGAAAAATTTTTTTAAATATGAAATATAAATATTTTTTAGAATTTTCTAAAATCTATTTTATAGGAAATAGAAATCTTGATTTACCATAACTATTATATCCGTTTTCATCATCAGATTCAGATGGACCACCTTGATTCTGTCTACCAAATTTATGACTCCTCGCTGTAAAAATAAAAAAAAATAAATGTATACAATAAATCTTTATAATGAAATAAGTATTATCTGAACAATGCTTACTGGACATGCTTAGATCCTTAGTCTGTGATGTCTCATAACTGCATTTTGGACAAGGGATAGGTTTATTTTTTTCATATTTAAAACCTTTTCTACGAACATGATCCTCACAATAGCATGTCTTACATCTGAGACAAGAGTACTGTCCCAAACGATTACATGATTGACCTGAAAATATTATTAACGACATTAAGACAATAAGTGCTAAAGAAAAATGCAATATCTCTTATATATATATATATATATATATATCTCTCTTATATATAATCTTATATATGTAATTATTACATTTAAAATTTTCTGCTTCCAATACTTGGCAAGATGCTTGATGCTCAAATTGATCATCTTCGCACAGGAAGCAGTCACAAAACGAGCATTTGAATATCCTTCCGCCATGATCCCAAACACCTCTCTCACATTCCTGACAAACAGCATCCATTAATGGACAGATGCAAGCGTGACTGGTGAGACAGCGTCTTCCATGGCAAACCCAAGCTTCGCAATAGTCGCATATGGCTCCCTGAAAGAAAAAGACACATTAAGTTTGCAATAACTTAGACAAATTTGAAAAGACGACCTGACAAAAGTAGACAGAAATATGGATTTACTTGCCACCATTCCTAATCCCGTAGTGAAGACTCCAGGATGACGCACCACGCAATCCCCTGTTTTCAACATACACTTCATCTTGCCACAATGCGCACATATCGGCAATCGTTGGAGACTCTGGCAGAAGTAACAGAAGGCACGGCTCTTTTGCTTTTTGTTGCATTTGTCGCACTCCTATAACGTGGACAAAATCGTCTTAGAAGTACGAGATATTCCTAACTGTGATTGACGAGTACTCACCATCACGGAGTTACAAGGAAATTTTGCCAAATCGACCTGCTCCTTGGCAGCTCTGATCTCCTTCTGCCGAAGCTTCTGCTTCTCAGCCTTTTTCCTCTGCCCAGTCTTTTTCTTCGGCATTTTCTATTGTTCTATTGACAAGGCACGTCCCGCGATAAACTCGATTACTTCCGTTATCTCAGAATGCTATGAGACCCGCATGAGCCACACGCGAAAGATCGCAACAGGTTATGGCTGTAAACGCGCACCGCTCATGAAACTGGCGTGGTCAATATTACTATTTTCAATACCACAAAATCTGAATGACAGCTGAATGATAGAAACATCTTTTTTTTTTTAAGTTGGATTCCTCTCTGGAGAAATCCTTCCTCTGTCTAATATTCTACTGCAAGGTATGAAAATAATTGCCTAAAATAATTATTTTTCCTTTAGCCGTGCTCCAGTTTAACGAATGGAATGAGATGTAGTAGCTAAAATAAATATAAGTAAAGCAAAAATTGCAGAGATTTTTAGAAATTTTTTTTAGAATTGATCTGCCAAATGGAATTAGCGGATGACAATAAGGAAAATCACGAAATATCTCTGAACAATAGCAAAAGGTCTGAATCGTCGCACGCTGTTGAATCCTTATTATCATTGGACAATACATTATTGTGTAACATAGAACCTGACAATGGATTGCTCATCCATTCCGAAGAGTCCTACGGATTTTCTCGGCAGTTTAGTGCCTCGGTGGTACCAGTTTTCAAAAATCAGACGCAAAATGTTGCAATCGATACAGCAGCTACATCACCCAGAGTGTCTCCCAATATAAATGAATGGCAAGCTAAAACTTTAATGAATCAAGTATTTGCTCAATTCGATTCTCAGAATGAGAAAGAAGTTATTCATGAGAACTGTAATAATATCAGCAGTTTAGATTTATTTAATACATTTTGCAAAGAGAACACAAATTCTGAATCAGATAATATAAATCAAAACTTTGAAGAAATATTTTTAGATCAATTGCATAAAAATACATCGCATGAAAATTCATTAACAAATGCATCATGTTTGAATATAATAAACTTTGATGATAATATTTTGGAAGATGGTCCTTCTGAAAAGGTTGACAATAGAAAAGATTCACCAATTTTAAAAGCCAAGCCTAGAACTCCAAATAAATGTAAGATCTTAAAAAAAAGACTGCGTTTAAACGATGCTGTGCCAATATCGAAAGAGACAAAAAATAAAACAGATTTCACAAATTGTTCTTCGTTTTATGATTTACCGAATACTGTAAAAAAATTTATGCAAGAAGTCAAAGGGATTTGTGAATTATATCGTAAGTTTGCAATTAAATCAAGTTTAGAAATATGATTCTTTATATGATTCTTTTTATTGTATCTTCTTTTTATGTAGAATGGCAAGACGAATGTTTAAAGTTGGCTATAACAACTAAGAAGAATTTAATTTATGCTCTGCCAACAAGTGGCGGCAAAACTTTGGTTGCAGAGATATTGATGTTCAGAGAGATTATATGTAACAAAAAAAATGCCATTTTTATACTTCCATTTGTGGCTTTGGTGCAGGAAAAGGTGCTTTAAAATTTTTTTAATATTTTTCACCTTTTTTAATATTAAAATTAAAAATATTAGAACAAGAATTTAAGATCTGGTATATACAATTAATTGAGTTAAATTTATGTATGTAGGTTCAATCAATGGCTATATTAGCATTAAAGTTAGGCTTTTTAGTCGAAGAATATGCTGGTACAAAAGGACGGTATCCGCCAATTAAACGACGAAGGAAAAATAGCATTTACATATGTACCATAGAGAAAGCGTTAGGACTTGTAAACAGTTTAATAGAAACGAAACGTTTAGCCGAAGTAAGTTGAAGCAATAATTGATTATTATACTCTCATATATTTAATAATGCAATAAAAAATTATTTTAGATCGGTATTATAGTTGTGGATGAATTACATCTGCTTGGAGAATCTGGAGGAAGAGGAGCCACGTTAGAAGGGCTTCTAACAAAGATAATGTTTTTCAATGGTAATTACAGATATTTAAATAAAATTTAGGAAATATATAAATATTTTCTAAAAAATTATTCTTATTTTAAAATTTCTAATTTTTTATAGATATACGTTTGATTGGGATGAGCGCAACAATCGGTAATTTAAAGGAAATCGCACAATTTCTTAATGCAGATACGTACACTCAAAATTTTCGACCAGTTAAAATAATGGAATATGTGAAATGTGAAAATTATACCTGGGTAGTCAATTTGAATAGTGAGGAATTATTAGTAGATATGAGGAACAATGATTATAAGGTGATCAAATTTTATTTCATAAAATTTTTTGTTAAACATTAAATTAAAAATTTTATTATAAAAAGTACGCAGATGACATAGCGATATTGGATCCAGACAGAATTGGAGGTTTGGTAATGGAAGTAATACCAAATGATTCATGCCTTATATTCTGTTCAAGCCGTAAAAATTGTGAAAATGTGGCTTTATTATTAACCAAAGTCTTACTTAAGTAAGATTTTATCATAATTATTTCAAATATTGCAAGAAATTATATACTATATATATATATATATATATATATATATATATATATATACTTTATGTATAATGTAATATCTCCGACTGTATTACATATGAAAAAAATTTCAATGTTTTAGAAGTTTATATGATCACAAAATAAATGAGAAAAAGACTTTGTTAAATGCACTTAAAACTGAAGAAGGATTATGTCCCATTTTGCAAAAGACTATCAAGTTTGGCATAGCCTATCATCATTCTGGTCTTACATCGGAAGAACGGCGTTTGTTAGAAGACGCTTTTAGAGAAGGTACTCTATGTGTGATATGTTGCACATCAACTTTAGCGGCTGGTGTCAATTTACCAGCGAGAAGGGTAAATTATCAATATATTTCTCTCTTTTTCTCTCTGATAATGTAATAGCTAATATCATTATGGCTATTAACAACATTGTCTTTCACTAGGTAATACTACGTAGCCCTTATGTCGGTAATCAATTTTTGAATTTAAGCAGATACAAACAAATGATTGGTCGGGCTGGTCGCGCTGGTATGGGAACTTTAGGAGAAAGTATACTAATTTGTAAAAAATCCGAGATCAGTAAAGTAATAATTTATAGAATAGATTAAAAGCTATTGTATTATATAAAATTGTGCACAATTAATCATCTTGAAAGCTAAGAAATTTACATTATATTCACATTACAGATAAAAGATCTTTTGACTTCTCAAATGGATGATTCGTTAAGTAGTTTATACATAGAAAATGATAGAGGACTCAATAATTTGATTCTAAGTGCAATACAGTTGAACATGGCAACAACCAGATCTGAATTGCATAAATTGGCTACTGCAACTTTGCTCAGTATTCAACAAGATAGAATAGGCGTTAATCTGAAGGCAATCACAGACGAAACAATAACAGCGTTAATAAAATGTGGTGTGATAAAAGTAAAAAGTAAAGGTAGTAATACTGGTAATCCTAATATAACGATTGTCATCCCATCTCAAGAATCACTAAGCCCGAAAAAGTTATCAGTTAAAAAGGGAGTAAAAACGATCACATTTACAAGTGAAACTGAGTTTCAGCTTTGTGATTTGGGACAAGCTGCAATGAAAGGTAGGAGCAATAAGCTTTTATTTATTTTTATTTTATTTTAAACTCAATTTCATAATAAATTTGTTATAGGGCCAATTGATTTAAAAACTGCATATACATTGTATGAGGATTTAAAAACGGCTCAAAAGCATTTAATTTTAATCGATAATCTTCATCTTCTATATCTCGTTACACCTTATGATTCTCAAATCACTCCTATTGGCAGTATTTATTATGATGTGGTAATATTATCTATATTTTTATATATAATGTAATATTATTAATATGTATTTTATAATATATTTTATATTATTTAAGATAATGGAACTGACTGAAAGTCAAATGCAAGTTGCTCGACTTCTTGGAATAACAGAAGCTGCGGCAAATAAATTACGTGATGGTATAATGCCTAAGGTCGGTTCGTTATCAAATAATTTAAATTCTATTTGAATTAATATTTCATCTAAAATAAAAATTTTAATGTGTACAGTCTGTGGAGAAAAGGGTAGTTAACAGATTTTATGTCACATTAATAGTACATGAATTATGGAACTATCATTCAGTTTATTTTGTTGCGGAGAAATATCAAGTTAATAGAGGCATTGTACAAAATCTTTTAAACACGGTCTCAATGTTTGCATCTTCCGTAGTTAGATTTTGCCAGGTAAATAAGTGAATTATTATTTTGATAAATATGATATATAAATATGATAGATATAAATATGATAGATTCAACAAAAAATATATTTTTTATATTTTATTTATTTTTTAGGAATTACCAGAATTTTGGGCATTTACTGAAATGTTAAGTACATTCAGTAAAAAATTATCTTATTGTTGTCCATCAGAACTAGAAAAGTTGATGGAACTTCCATCAGTTAAAATAGTAAATTATTAATTTTATATTATTATATATATTCAAAAATATTTAGAAATTGAAAATTGGCTTTGTATAAGTATTTATTTTTATCATATTTTATTATAGGGTAGAGCTCGTCAATTGTATAAAGCTGGTTATAAAACTTTACAATCCATAGCAAAAGCCAATCCCAAAGAAATACAGGAAAAAATACCATATCTAAATAATAAAATAACCGCGCAAATTATAGCTGCAGCAAAAGTAAGTTATATAGTATACTAATAAAAATATTTCTTGCATTTGTTATTCATTGGTTATCATAAATCTTACAGCTTTTTAATATTACAAAGAGCAGAAGATTTAAAAGATGAGTGTGAAGATATTTTAGATGGTATAAATATAAGTCAAATAGAAGTAGATATATAAACTTTAATAATAATAATTTAAGACATTTTTTCTAAAATAAAGTTATATAAATTTTGTACAAAATTAAATTTAATTTCAAACTAAAGAAAATATGAAAAAAATTAAATTATCAAAATATTTTCTAAAGACGAATTTAATTAAATGTAAAATTTGAATTATGTTTGTATAGACAATTTGAAACAATCTGTTATTAAATATTTATTAAGTATTATGTAGTACCAATTATGTATAGTACCAATTAGGAAAGAAAATAAATTATTATTTTATTATAAATATAACTATATTTTTATATGTAAATTGTAAATAATACACATTATTATTATTATTATTATCGTTTTTTTAAATGACTCGACAAACTCTGAATTCAGTGTTGAATCCAGCTTTCTTATGTTCCTATGTATATTTTGATTTTGTAAAAGATTGATTGAAGAGTTTAAGTATTAATTAAAGTTAAAGTTAAAGTATTAATGAGATAAATGATAACTTAATTCCGAAAGCCAGATATTAACATCTAATATCTTTTATCTCTTAAATTATAATTTGTGCCTAATGGAGCAATGTGTTTCAAAGAATAGCATATTGTTTAAGCAGGCACATATAGCAATCTTCCAATACTGTTTGATATACTTAAAAATAATGGTAATATCAACATGATATGGAATATATTTATTGATAAGATTTAGTTTATAAGAATATTTTTTACATAAAACTTTATTGTATTTTACATAAAAAAATAAAATATGAATGAATATTATAATGAAACATTATCTTTTTTTATATAAACATGATTTCAGTGTAATTTGAGGAAGATTCTTCCTTTTTATGCTTATATCTTCTTCTTTTTTGAAATCCATAAAATAAAACAAGTTGTGAGACAAATCTTTCCATGTATTTCTGAAGCCATAACTACGCAGCAGTTTTATAAAATTTCCTACATCCTCAAATCTGCTTTCAACTTCAGCTATTTTTAAAATACCACTAAATTTATTGAAACAAAAGCATTAATTTCTCATGTTATTCCTGTTTTAATCAAGAGTATCATTGTTACTTACTTGTTTTTAAGAACTCTATTAGCTTCTATTATATAATCATTAAGATTAGATCCCATTAGAGAAAGACAAAACACAACCACATGAACGCTGTTCATTAATAATGGAGTATGAGCCATATCACAAGCCTTAACTTTGTCATTTAGAGCAATGAAATCAAACGAATGTACTGTATGAGGAATGGATGCAGCAAGCCGTGCTTCGCCACATCCAAAATCAGCAATCACACTGTCAATTGGCCTGTAATTATTAAAATATTGTAGTTTGTTATATGCAAATTTTTCTTTAAAAAACAATACAAACAATTTTTTAATCGATGATATTAAAACATCTAATGGATTTACTGGCCACTGTTCAAGCTGCTGTTTATATCCCGCATGATAAGCTTTAAAAGCATCAGGATCTTCTTTAAAGTAACGCTTAGATTCTGAGCTATCATTGTTGTACAGTGTCTCATTTATAAATCTAAACCTAGATGCTCTCAACTGTGTCATCATTCTTTCCCTCAATGTAAGTGGTTGCACAATTTGCTTTGTTTGCAACTTGTTAGTGAGTATTTTTTCTAGTTGATTGACTTTTATCTTATGTTCGTTCAGTTTTAATATCTTGTTAGGTTTTATCTGCTGTACTTCGGTTTTATCTGATTTATTTGCAGATATTTGCAATTTTTTATTCTTTTCCTTGACAGACTCACCAACTCTTACATTCTTATTTGTATTATCAAGATTCACATCCTGTTTTCGTCTTTTATTTCTCTTTTTGCTTTTTGTTTTACTATCTGTGTTAATTTGTACTTTTTGTAATATCCCTGGTGGTTTCTTATCATTTTTTGAATGTCTTGTTGGAATATTTGACTTATCTATATTTTTTACATCAAATTTATTCCTAGAACCATCCTTTCTTCTGTTTTTTCTGTTTTTTCTACTTGTAGATACCGTTCTTGCAATTTTATTAGCTACATTTAATTTCTTTAAATCATTTCTGTATGTGTCACTCAAAGATCCTTTATTATCTTTCCTTTTGCTGAATTTCTACAATGAAAATGACAGAAAGATCTTACATACACAAAACTTATAAAATTAAAGAATGAGATTCAATTTTCGTTGAATATTATTATATTGAAAAATTATTATATTATGCTAAGAAATTAAGCAAGAACTATATGGTTAGATACCTTTACAATGGACTTTTTCATACATTTTACAGCAGGCACTTCCTTATCCTGCAAAGATTTTTTAAATTTCGCCATTATTTTGTTACACTAAATAATTATAACTTTTTAACAAAATCGGCACGTTGGTCTCATATAACCTATGAACGATATGTTAAGGTAAGAGCATGCGCATAATACATGATGCATAAGAAAATAAACCAATCAGAGTTTTTCATTTTTATTGTGTGGATGATATGGAGACTTTTATGCAAAAGTCTAAACTCTCGCCCTAAAAAATCATTATCCGAAATGTAGTAAAATAAAAATTAACTACATGTCAATATATATATGTCAATATATATATATATATATATATATATATATATATATATATATATATGTACGT